ATTTAGCATCAACGATTAGTGGAATGGGCTAACGATTGAGTCATCTCTAATTTCAAAAAATGATAAGATCAAACGAATCATTCGGTAATTACAAATGTTTGCAATAAAAAAAACCATCATATCGACATATTCAATTCCATTTTGGGCATTAACCTTGTCAATACATTTCCATATACATGGTATGTAATTACATTTGGAATCCTTCCAATTAACTGGTTCATTAGAATCTATGGTTATTATAATATTCATCAAATCTGTTTAGTTTATCAGCTTAATGCTGGGTTTTTTTCTCTGAAAAGTCCCAAGAACAGTGAAACATGAATGGTTGAGAATGGATACGAATTCACAATATAAATGAAGTGGACAACAAAAAATTGAAATTGAAAAGAAAACGCACTCATAAAGAAATTAAATAGTACAATGATTTCACTGCTACATTTGAAAAAAAAAAACATGATATAAAGTTTTAATTATACGAATTTTGCCCAAAAGCATTACACTTTGAACAAAAAAAAAGAAATTTCCATGTCACTCGAGTTCAAAGTATTGAATGACGTTATTAGCAACGAGTATTGGTGGTGCCGATTTCAACTGATAAGAAATGCTCATTTTGGCATACCCATAAACCAACCTTTTTTCCACATGTTAGTAAATTCGATGCGGTCGTTTTGATTTCAAATTCGTGGCCCCTTTGTGAAGTAGTGAATTTATTCTCAGCCATTCATATATGTATCAGTTCAAAAAAGTATACGTATATTGAACGAGATGAAAACCGATTTATGTATCGAATGCAATTAATCCGTTTTTTTATTCGTTTTTTGGTCAATTTGGAACCGAATTTCCTTCGAATTGAATTAAATTAAATTCATTTTTGGCAGTATTGTATGTTTATACGTGTTCCGATGCATATTTTTCTCTACAATATAAATACATAGATTGAGTTGAAATGATGTATTGCGCATTCAAGCTGCAAAAGGAAATCTCTTCAATGTTATTGAAAATAAATATTGAACCATTTCGAAATCCGATGCAATCATATGTATGTAAATTGGTTTCGATTCCATTTTTGGTTTTCGAATTTTGCATTTCCCATGGTAAAACTCAAATATTTGCGTGACGGCAAAATAATTGGCTTCGTTATTTTGTAGTTTCTTTGCTTGAATTTCATTTTATTTCATGAACGCACCGATTTTATTTAATTTTGTTCTGTTTGCTAATGTTTCATTGCTTTCAAAGAAGATAATTACATTGATTGGATTTTAAGGGTAATAAATGTTTGCATTCATGAAAATAGCGTTTCCCGTTAACTTATTGACAAAAGTCCATGACTTCACTGCAATTTTTGTTGTGGTTGTTGTTGTTACTCAAGCGATTACAATCTTAAAACAAACGATGAAAGTTCTCAACAAATCGAATTATATTTGAAATGTTTATGGTAATATTCATTCCGAAAAGAATCCATTTAATTTTGTCGATTGTTAAAATGATCGATTTTCAATCATACGCTCTTTTCAAATCTTCAAATACTTTCTTTTGCGTTCAGTCAGACTTAAAACCATTTTTATGAGGTACGAAAACTATTTGACCTCACTTTATAGCCTCAACTCATTCACTGACTGATTCAGTCCGTCAAACCATCAGATACAAGCGTCTCCGTGTATCACGTAGTACGATTTCATGGAGGTCACTAAAATCGTATAGCCGTTTTATTGTGTGTTTTCAGCAGTGAAACATGGAAACAAATATTGTTATTCATCTGAGTTGTTGTGGTTGTTTGCATAAAGGATATAGGATTTACATCTTTTTTTAGCGTATTATGTGTGTGTGTATGTGTTGTTACAACTTACTGACGATATACGACACATACATATTGAACGCAAACTAAGGAGCGATGACGTGATAAAGCTTACAAAAGGCTAAACAATATGACGCGCAATAGGACGCATTGACGGGAAAGAAAAATGGCTCGGAAAAAATAAATTGCTGAATAGACTTTTACAACGAACGCTTGTGTGGTTTGAAATGTTTTTTGCATGCGTCATAGTCAAAAAGAATTTCTGTTCTTCATTCAATAATTAATATTAATATACAAAGACAGACGCGAAATCCTTCAGTCAAAAACAGAAACAACAATAACGAACGAACGAAAAAATAAAAATAAATGAATGACCAAATGAATGAAATGTAGTGAACCAAGCCCCTAATGCTGCGACGCTGATTTATTATTGCACACAGAGCAATTATTTGTTTTAGATATGCTGAATGTAAAAGTTGAATGAAAAATACGAAATAAAAAAAATGAGAAATGATATCCTTATAAATTCTCTCAAGAACTGTGAGAATCACGAAAATTGGACACAATTGAAGCAAAAAAGAATTGAGTGAAAAAAAAAAGTCTGGCAAACGCAAACATTGGAAAATAATGTTAGCGGTCGCGCGAATTATATGCAGTGTATTTCAAAGAAAAGAGCTCAATGGACGACATTATTGGAACTCGAAACATCATGTTTTTCTTCTATTTGTTCAGTTTGTACAATTGCGAGTAAAAATGAGCATCCCTTGTTGGTCTTCGTTTTATGTTCAATTCATTGCGACATTTTATTAAATGATTCTGACACCGAATTGTTGCTATAAAACCCTATGGCTATATCGCACCAATCGCATGCCACATAATGTTAGATTCTCAATGAACTATACTATAAGTCACTATGCCAAAAATTGGAATGAACAAAATCGAAACTCTCTTGCATTTCGCGAAGCTTTCTCGTGACTTTTGTGTTTTCAACATAAATACATGTTCGAATCAACAATAATGAAACAAAAATATGCATTATTCGGATATTTTTTATGTCAATTTCCAAACTTTTTTTTGTTGTTGATTGCTCTTCATTTTTGCGCTCTTATTGTATCAAAAAATCTGTTGTTGTTTTTTTTAATATGAAATTATTATCATTGGCATTAAAGTTGTGAGATATGAATTTTCATAAAAACTGTGTAATACAATTGTCATTGTGTTTTATAATAATCCGAACAAAGAGGAAAATTGTCAATGGACACTCACCGTTTTTTTGTTCATGGTGTACACTCGAACGCACTCTGCGCACTGATATGGATGTGAACATCGATACAGTCCACACAAACGAATGCTACGTGAACATATGAATGAGAATGGCATAATTGCATGTTGTCTATGTTCATACCATTGAAAATACAGCATTCAACATTACATTGCAAATGTATCAAGGGGTAACATTTTTATATATCTGTATCCATATTTGTCAAGTTCTATACAGAGCGCATATTGGTGAAGCATTATTGTGTATTGTACACTTTCGAATGTTAAAATGTAAAAAAAGAGAACAAATTATCAGTCAATGGCCATACCGAGCTGCTTGTAATCGAACACGTATGTATGTCATTCAGAAACAAAAATCCCTTTAAAAACTTGGAAGGAAAAAAAACATATCACAAGATAAAAGTATAAGAGCAATTTCAAAAACTTATGAATAAAATTGCGACACTTTATCTATCAGATATTTACAGAATATTTTTAAAATTTCACATTAAAATTCTATATACTTTGTCAAATTTATATTGAACGAAGGAACAAAAAAAAACCATAAAACAAACTATTTCATCAGAATCATGTCAGAAATGTAAAATATCGACTTTTAGCTATAAATTATGATTTTTATCCACTAAACGTACTTTGTTTGACGACTGTGTGTAGTTTCTATATTCTATGTATTTTTGCTCGAATATTATCTTAAGAAGATATTATTTGGTGCAAATATTTACAAATATATCAACAAATGTTACATATTATGAAGCAAGCAAAAAAAAAAGGCGAATCGATTTTGATTGCTTTTTTTCTCCGTTCTATTCATCCTGATAAATTTATTGTCATGTATTACAACAATTGAATTGTGTTTAGCCGAATCTAATTTTCTTTTGAGTTTTTTTTTGTCTACTTCGCAAATCAGATAAAACGCAAATAGTGAAAACCTTTACCATATCCGGTGGAATAGTCGATTGTCGATGTGTTCGGTGTGTATTCACATCAAAATGAACTTGCTTGCTTATTGACTCGACTAATGACTCTTAGAAAATTACTGAATGTTTCGCAGTGGCAAAAGTTTGTTTTATGTTCAAAGCACTGTTTACTCACCCCCGCCTAAGTTACGAGTTTAATAGGTTTTGTGATACCTTTTTTTTCGTTGTTTGTATTAAATCGAGTGTAGAGCTTGTCTTATTTTATCTGTGCTATCATTTGTGCAATGATTGATTCATGGACGGTTTTTGCCGAATCGGATGTTGTCGATGTCTTTTTTTTTTGCCTTTTCTTCTCTTCTTATTTTTCTTCTTTTTTTTCTCTTTTCTGTTCATTTGGTTTAACGCCTATCAAATTATATTGTCGAGAAATAGACGATGTGTGATGATGGTGAAAATGTATTAGCTTCGATAATTTGCTGTCAGTGGATTGCAAGGACGTGTGTAAGCAGTTCACTTCTCCAATGCGTACCATTTCAATAGGTGCTAACATAATAAAACCTAACGAAGTGAATTACACTTTGATTTTCTTCTCATTTTTAGTGAACCAGAAAATCAATTTAGTTGTGCACAAACATACAACCATTTTCGTTTTCGTATTTTCTCAAGACGTTTCGTTTTTTATTTCTCTTTCCCTGATTTGTCGGTCTCTGTTATTTCTATTTTCAAAGTGTTCGTGCATATTGCTTGACAAACAAACGCATAAAAATAATAAGATTGCACAAACTACAATAGAGCACACTTTTTATGTACACATACACAAAGACGAGAGACAGAATTTGTGCATGGAAAATAGTGTGAACGATGGAATATCGACAAAATGAAGTGAATATAAGTACTTGAGACTTATATTAGTTTTAAAGTGAAATATGAAATCAATTTTAAGATTTCGTATATACAGCTGTCGTATAATTTATATTTCTTTATATGTTTTCTTATTGCCATTTCAGATCAAACAAAATTGACTTGTTTTCAACCACTCCTCAATCAACGCAGGCATCATAAAACAAAAGGTATGTTTTTTTAAAAGGTTTTCTCGAATAAGGCGTACTGTTTTCGTAAAGTTGAAGCTTACATAAATAAGTAATATAAAAGTTTGCCACTGTATATTACAAATCAATTAAATTGAAAGATCAATAACATTGCAATTTAAGCGTAAAATTGGCCAGGCTCAACGATTCGATTAGAAAGTATTGATTCCATTTGATAAAATTCGTTTTTGTTATTTTTTTTTTTCGTTTTTATCGTAATAATCTTGATTGGGGTATTAACATTGAATTGGATGTAACAAATGATGGTTCCATAATCAAAGAAAATCCAGTGAAATGTAAGCACAATGGACTATACCCAAAAATATTTGAAAAATATACACGAATTGTCGATAATAAAGGCGAATACCCAAAAATGTGTTGATATAATAAACAAATTAAATCGTTTGGTATCAATATGGTGAGTGCACGCGGACATCCATACTATTCAAACCAATATTTATGTACAAGTGGACTTCTTTACAATCAATTTGGAAATTAAATTGGAATTTTTTCCTATTTTTTCTAATTTTTCGTTTTAAATATATGAAAATCAATTTTACATCAAAAACTTAAGCTTTAATGTTGTAGGTGTTGCTTCAAAATTGTGCCTAGATGCAGGTAGTTCTTTAAGATGATTCAAAACTTCTCGTAATGCCATATTTTCTGTTTTTTGTTCCCCTCGTTTGTAAGATTAAGAGCAGCCAAACTGTAAGCTATCGAATATATGCGTCAAAATGAATCCATTGCAAACGCTCCATTGGACATTATAGCATTTTGTTACGTCGGTTTTTTTTTTTTTTTTTGAACACTTAGCAAACTGGTTAGATATGCTCATCATAGAATGGTGTTCTGCTCGTATTAGTATAATAAAGCTACCACTTCTTTCCTGTTCGCCACATTATATATACATACAATTTTATGTATATTGCTATTTCCCACCTATGTGCTTTAATCCATTCGTGCATCGAAATTGGCAATGTAAAATGTATGCAAAATATGCTAAAGTTTTTTTTAGTACATGTCAGTAGATATCCGTATAAGTCGTTTATTGTTAGTTTTGGGTGAAAATAGCACAGTTTCATATGCTGTGCCCATTTTTGTACCCATTAAGAATGAAACATGGGTACCCATTCTAAAAGTTGGCATCAAAGTAGCTTATGCTTTGTAAAATTTGTTTTGTTAAAGCAGCATTTCTTTGCAGCGAAGCTAGAAAAAGTTAAAGTTCACTTGGTGTGTGCATTCAAAATTTAAAAGAATAAGTCAAGCTGACCAAATCGACCGATATATTCATTTTGAAGTGGTGCTTCTTAGTAAACAACTAATCCAAGTTATTTGAAAACCATAGGCGTTCGTTTTAACATAAGCTTTGCACACACAGAGAGAGGGTCTTTGACTCTCGCATCCTTGTTGATTGTGTAATGACCGCTGTGAATGAATTAGAGAATAGAAACTTGTATATTTTCATTTGTATCAAAAATTAAATGAGGAAATAAGAAGTATACAGAAAGGAAATAGTGATACACATGCTTTTGCACATTTAGTCCAATATAAAAGACATGAGAGATAAACGTAGATGTAATACATATACCATTTTGTGAGTGACTATTGCCTTAAACCGCAAATGCTGTAAAAGTTTGTGCCATTTATTTATGCGAATAGCGTATTCCACAACAATAAGCATAAAACGGTTTATTTTGCTCATTTACAAAACGACATATTCGTATCATTAAAATGGTCCATGAATATTTCAAAATTAAACTGATCTGATTTTTGTTTAACTACACTGTGTACTTCTGTGCATACAAAATAGGAAATAACCATCCTAATTAACATGTGAGCATGACGCATGTGGATGGTTTTCATTTTGTCATGCAACACATAAACCATAGAACCGAATAAACTTTATTGTAAATTAAATTCATAAAAGCCAAACCACTACCTGCATTTTTATCCTGTCAAAGTCTATTTTCATATCATTCGTGTTATTTTTAAGCGGCAAACAATATTTTGACATCAAAAAAATTCTACATTTAAATAAAAGCATTTTCGGATTGAATTAATAGTTTTTTTTTTAGATTTGATCATTTGCAAATAAGCAAATGCAGTGTGGCACATCTTGTTGGAATATCTATTCATAGGTTTGGGTCTTTTGTTTCTCGCCAAAATTCTACAAATATTTAGAACTAGATAGATATTTACAGGTTGCATATAAAATGGTTTTAGTTTTTAACTACTCGTAAAACCGGAAAATTGATGATGCAATATCTTTGTGCAAATTAATGCTATTAATTTCTGATGATGCCCAACATTCCATTTTAATTAGTCAAGGCATCCAATATAATTGGTTTCCATGGTTTAACATTAGAATAAAACAAACTTTACTATCAATATAATTTTACTAGTATTAATCACATGATATTGCAGAGGTCTCTCTGTCTCACGTCGGTAATCTATTGTACTCTCATTCCGTCATAGACAATACTGTCTTTGCACGGCTTCACACGGATGTTTTTGTAACAGTTTAAATGTTATCTCATTCCAAGCCTGAAATGAATTCATCTATGTGTGCGGCTAATTTATTTGCAGAGAATCTGGTCCACTTTTATCAGAGTCCAAAAATTTTACATTCTATTTAAATTCGGGGGAAAATTGAAATTAGAGGTTCGAAGCATGTTTTGAACATTTTAATTAAAAAGGAAATGCAATGTGAACAATGCATTTTTTATGAATCACTGATTCATCGACTGTATGCATCCTCATACCGCATCCTCTCAGCTGTAAACGTTGCATGTTTTAACTGATTGCTTTTAATTTAAAGCTCTTTTATAGTCATTTTGTGTAAAGCAACCGTGTTTCCCTTTCAACAAATGCGATTATGGTGTAGCGCAATGGCGAAAAATTCAATTAGCAAAAATAAACCAACCGATCTAACGATTTAAAAATCGCGCTCAGATGGAAATCAACAACAAAGGGCATATCTAAACTGATAAATTCGACTAAACGAGTGGAAATTGCAGGGAATAGTCTCAATGAATACAATTCACCACTTTTAATTTGATTTCATTAAATTGCTCTTAAGCATTTCAATTGTATTTCTCAACCTGTTTAATGCAGAATTTCTCATTTCGTTGAATTATTGAAACACCATCGAATCGCTTTTTCTTCGGCACCGGACACAATCCAATTGGAATAAAACATATGATAATACATATGATTTGACAATATTTAGCGACTTTCTTTTTTACTCATTGTAAATTGATTTATCTTTGAAAATCCGTTGACTTGAATCATTTATTGGATACGTGGCCTGTATAAATTGTCAAAAATTATCGGTAGAGTAGAAAAATGCATGAATCTAACATTTTGGAATATCATTTGTCGAGTCGTAACGAGCATAGCAGTCGTCATCCCTATTTAAAATGAAGTAATAGTTATAAAAGGATTTCTTGTTACATAGGTGAGCGTACGCTAATGATTTAAGAGAAGGGTAATGGCAAGCATCCAAAGGGGTCCCATCAAAAGTCGATTCTATCTAATAGGAAGGAGAACTTCGATCCAAAAGCCTCAGCAAATCGAAAGAATTTTCCAATTTCAGAGGGGGATTATCGGGGTCCTCCGGTAGCTGATTGCCCACCTATGTACTTGTTTGTAATTTGTAACATCTTTTACAATTTGTTCAAAAGAATTTCCGCATTTATCATGTGATTGATCTAAATACTATCGAGCAATGTGTTGCATAAAATCTACCTATGTAAAGTCTTGCTTTTTTCAAAATGTATGGATCTATTTACGGATTTATTCTTACATACAATGTAGCTTGCAATGCCTATAGAATCATTTACCGTTGTTCATTTGCATTTTTATTGGCATAACTGAAAAAAACATATTACTTTTGCTTAAAAGGAAAAGTTGAATTCCAGAAAATCATTTGATTAACTTGCTTGAAGAAATTTGCCTCATAAAAACCCAGACTATTTGTGCTTCTAAAGAGAAGATACTTCATATTTAAATATGTATATAGATATACAAAAATCCGTTTTGGTTTTGCATTTTATCTTTTTGCTGTTAGAGAGAAAAAAATGTGTATCCGTAATGCTCTTTATTGAATGAAGATTTGATTGGATAAACGAAACGCAGAATAGATTGCTTGATACATTGAAGATTGAATTTTTGCTGAGGCAATACGGTTTTGCATATTCCGACTTTTATTGAATATCTGAAATGTACGTACGTGTGTATTTTACATTGATGCGTTAATCCACAATAGATTTTCGTATTAAATTTTAATCCTTTGAGATTCTCTCATTTTAATTGATGCGAATTCTCATAAACAAAATCAAGTCTAGTTGAATATTCTATGGCTCATACATGAAATTCCTTTAGAATAGGAAAAGCATCGTCATCTTTGCTTTTCAATGTAACACTCGTCTGTATAGTAGTTAATATTGAATACCCGTTGATGTTTATTGATCCGGATATATCGATAAAAAATTGATGGGAATTATGCAAGTCTCATGAATGTTCCATAGCGTAAACAATTACAACACCAATGGAATGGTGCTCTATATGTATTTTATATCAATGTGTCGAGCACTAATTTGAATATCTTTCAAATCCATTTGAATTTTTCTTTGCGCATTCATGCATATATTTTGCAGACATTTTTGCTTTTCTCAAATCAAAATTTGTTGATTCGATGCATTAACACAGTGCATCAACAGAACCGTTGCCAACAATAAAAGTCTATACAAAAAAGAAATCGATTAAAACGCGTATTTGCATTAAAACGGATCTTTGGATGGGGTGAAAAAAAATAAGCTCAATTTCGTCAATAGTAAATTCGACGTGATAATACTGTGTGTCATTGGTGTTCTATTCATTTCCATCAATCCTATTATCATTCGAATCTTGTATTGGAATTGGCGTGTTTGGGCTCATGCATATAGTCAACGACACCGAATCGACATGTTCACAAGCACTTT